AAAACCAAGTGTGATTAGTCTTTCCTTGTGTTCATTGAGTTGGTGTTTTGATTCTGTTAACACTCCGTTTGTCCACAGGAGTAAATTTGTAAACACGGAATGGATCACCCCAAACCTAGAAAATAGATTAGTTATTGATACAATCTGTACAAAGGATTTCACCCCATCTATCTGAAATGGAATCCATCACTTTTTACTGGGTACAAAGATTGACACTACTTTACTCCTCAATGGCAGTAAAACAAATGCTAAACAGTCTCCTTACATTCATGGTGAAACAGGTTAGATAGGTGGGTCTTTCAGGATGTTATAAAAAGGCAGTGGTTTAATCTATTAAATTGCATTGTAAGTAGGATGCTGCTCTTATTTGTCACAATCTCTTGTACAATGGCATTGTTTATATTTATATGATGGCATTATTGCCAGGAATAGCATATGTCATTCTTTGGAAATAGTCATATTATATAGCGACTTTCTGGATGGGTTTATATGAAAGTTCATGTTCATGACAACGATTTACTAATCTAAACAGGAATAAGTTTATGTTAATAGGCTCTACTGCTCCCACTCCTGCACAGAATGCTTTAACATACCTGCACTCCTTCCTCACACCCACTGTAGTCATCCTTTCCTTACAGATATTCCCCTGCCTTCTCCAGATTCCACTCCATTCATTTCCATCTACAAATCCAACAAGATTTCCTGGTTGAAATTGTCAAAGCCACATAGGGGAGTTAGCCACACAGTTACAATTAAAATAAATGGGAATTGTGTAGTTAAACATCCGAGGAGGCTTTGAAATCTCAGTCTGAGAATGCGTTCCAATGTGGGGCAAGAGAAAGATGTCTGGGGTAAGCAGTGAAATAATGGGTCAAAACATAACAGTTATTGCAAACTGTGATGTTTTGACCCATTGTTGTAAAATACTGTGGTTTTCTTCTAAGAGTGAGCCAGTCTTGGTCCCTCCACTTCCCACTGCTTACTGCAGACTTCCTTCTCTTGCACCAAGTTTCAAATCGGTTTGCATTCCTTCTTCTGGCCAGCGTCTCCGAACAATTCTTCATCTTGCCTTTGCACAAAGTCCCCGATTCAGAGGTATCACGCTATAAGCAATTTACTTATAAATAGATCTTATTTCACTATCTCACACTGCAAGCCTTATTTTGAAAATAAACTAAAAGAATAGTATTTTACATGATTAAACAAACAGAACAATATGTTTTAATGTCACACTGTATAGAGGTACTGCAGAGCATATAACAAAGGCTCTATTGTGCTGCTGCAGTGAAGCTAATAATGGAAGTAAAGAACTAGTACATCATAATTGTTTTCAAGAGCATTCCCACAGTTATATGAACTGCCCCGAGATCCAACTAACAGTGTTAGTGGTATTGTGTGTGGATTTTCACAGTTATGATGCATAAAATATGACTTTTTAATTCAGGACTCAGAAACCTGTCTAAAAATGAAAGCCAGGTCTGGTCAGATATTTATTATTTGTATAACAATAGCACTTGGAAGCCCCAATCAAGATCAGACCTCATTGGCTCTCTATTAAGACACAATGAGAGAAAGTCTCTGGCTCAAAGAACTTACCATTTAAATTGACAAGACAAACAAAGGTGGGAGACAAAACATAGTGAAAGTGACTTGCCTAAGGTCACAAAGCAGGTCAGTGGCAGAGCCAGGAATAGAAACCAGCTCCCCTGGCTCCTGGGCAATTGCTGTATCTATTGGACCACACTGCCTCCCTAGCTCAAGACAGCACACTGGGTCACCTCATACTGTCTCTCACTTTTTTTATTTCACTCCTCACAGTGACTGTGTAAGGTAGTAGTAATATGCGGAACAGACTTCCTAAGAGCCACAGAGGGGGTCATCACTGCTGGCAAGATTTGGATTTATGAGTTCCTGGCTTCAACTACTGAACTTGGGTCACTGGACCACACCTGTCTATTTTATAGATCAGAAAGCCTTAGTAAATATAGTCATATAGAAAAGAAAATAAGCCAAGTCCTATGTTTACATAATTCTCATTGGTGTTCATGAGCTTTATATACAAACCTAAAGAGAATAGAACCCATAGGCGAGGTTTCTGAGTCATTTTCTTATTATCTTATTTTGTTTTCTATAAATATTTGGCCAGTGCCTGTAGTTTGTTTAGCAGTCATGTTTCAAGAATCATTATGACATTTCATAGAATCATAGAAGATTAGGGTTGGAAGAGACCTCAGGAGGTCATCTAGTCCAGCCCCCTGCTCAAAGTAGGACCAACCCCTCCTAGTGAAATAGTGTTTCCTAATATCCAACCTATACCTACCCCACTGCAACTTGAGATCATTGCTCCTTGTTCTGTCATCTGCCACCACTAGGAACAGCCGAGCTCCATCCTCTTTGGAACCCCCCTTCAGGTAATTGAAGGCTGCTATCAAATCTCTCCTCACTCTTCTCTTCTGCAGACTAAATAAGCCCAATTCCCTCAGCCTCTCCTCGTAAGTCATGTGCCCCAGCTCCCTAATCATTTTCACTGCCTTCCACTGGTCTCTCTCCAATTTGTCCACATCCCTTCTGTAGTGGGAGGATCAAAACTTGGACTCAATACTCTAGGTGTGGCCTCACCAGTGCCGAATAGAGGGGAATAATCACTTCTCTCTATCTGCTGGCAATGCTCCTACTAATGCAGCCCAATATGCTGTTGGCCTTCTTGACAACAAGGGCACACTGCTGACTTATATCCAGCTTCTCATCCACTGCAATCCCCAGGTCCTTTTTCGCAGAACTGCTGCTTAGCCAGTCAATCCCCAGCCTGTAGCGGTGCATGGGATTCTTCCATCCTAACTGCAGGACTCTGCACTTGTCCTTGTTGAACCACATCAGATTTGTTTTGGCCCAATCCTCCAATTTGTCTAGGTCACTCTGGACCCTATCCCTACCCTCCAGCATACCTATCTTTCCCCCCAACTAAGTGTCATCCACGAACTTGCTGAGGGTGCAATCTATCCCATCGTCCAGATCATTAATAAAGTTGTTGAACAAAACTGGCCCCAGGACCGACCCCTGGGGCACTCTGCTTGATACCAGCTGCCAACTAGACATTGAGCTGTTGATCATTACCCATTGAGCCCGACAATCTAGCTCACTTTCCATCCACCTTTGTCAGGCATCACCAGATAAACTTGTTGGTTTACATCTGTGGTACTTCATCATTGTACAATACCATGCATGATGACAGTAGAATGGGCATTCTTTTTTATTCTTGCTGGAGATCTGACATTTAGGGGTGGAGGGTCCACTGAAGTCAGTGATGCCACATGAAGATCTCAGGTAAAATTTTCAAATGTATCTATGTGAGTTATGAGCTTAAATCCTACTGAAAGTCCATAAGACTTAAGTTTCTAAGTCATTTAGGCACTTTTGAATATTTTATCCCTGGCCACAGTAAGTCTTTTTGCTGATTTCTTCCCCTTTCTCAATGGTGTTGCCTATATTTTTTATTACTTTTTCAATCATGGTTTAATTTTGTCTCTACTGGAATGCTGCCCGTCTGTGCAGCCATAGTTTTAAGAAGTATTTTCATAGATACTACATAGTTTGACATTCCCATCTATTTAATTAAAAATAAAAAGCTATCACTAAGATATACAGAATGCTGCTCTGTCTTCCCACATCAAAGGCCCTGCTGGAGCCTTAAAGAAGAAGAAAGCCAAAAAGGATGGTGTGGGGAAAGGTTAATCCTTCCTTCCTATTTGACTGTGTGTCTAAAGTTAATAGCAGCTTTTTAGGATTGGACCCTAAAAGAAGAATGGATTTTTTAAGGTAATTGTAAGGTAACTGGGCAGCTCAGGAACCTGGGGATGGGGTATAAAAACATTTGTCTCTTGATCATTGGTTCAGTTTGCCTGCAATGTGAAATCAGATGGTGATCTCCATCCTCTGTCAGTAGCACAGTTGACACTTCTGCAAGCAGAGAGGAGACTGCTACCAGCACTATTGGTGTTGTTCCTTCCAAGCCAGAGTTCAGACACACTGAGCCTGATTCACGGAGGTGCTGAGCTCCCATAATGCCATAATTCCTGGAAATTGGGCCAACTTTTAGGGAGCCAGGTAGGAAAGTTTTAATTGGTGCTGTCTGTTCTATATGTATTTTGTGAATAAAGATATGGGTATAGTCTTTGTAATCTATGACTTTACACTATCTACCTTAGGCACTTATCTGGTCTCCATTAGCGTAGTATCTGAGCAACTCTCAATCTCTAATATATTTATCCTCATAACAGCCCTGTGAGGTAGGGAAGTGCTATTAATTCCATTGTACAGATGGGGAACTGAGTTAGAGAGAGATTACATGACTAGCCCAAAGTCACTCAGGAAGTCTATAGTAGAACAGAGAATTGAATCCAGGTCTTCCAAGTTCCGGGCTAGTGAATATAGTCCTCTATTTTAAGATCATCTGAGTGTATTTAGTGTTTCCGATTAATGGGATATGTAAATCACACTGTAGATGCCAAGGTCTGCCGTCAGATGTGTGCACAAATCCCTCTGACTTCAATGGGAGCTATATGGGCATACGTCAGAGCAGAATTTGTCCCACAGTATATTTGCACATTCATATCTGGTCCAAAGAAGGCATTCCCCCATAACAATTTAAGATGTTGTCAAACATGTGTCACTGAATGCAAGCTACTGCACACAGTGACCGATGCCAATAACCCTTCAGACAGCTAAATAAATTAAACATGAGACATACAGGTGATATTTCCTTACTCTGAGAAAGGTACGTGTAACTCCAAAGATGAAAAGTTACTATGCTGTAGCAGTCATGTCACATGATTTAGTTAGTGGAAAAATCATGCATATTCTTTGACTATTTTTGTTAAAGTATAAACACTGTTTAAATTGAAAATATAAATTAAAAAATAATGATTTACCCTCTCACTTATGCCTGTAAATGGAATTGCACCCAATTTACACAAACATAAGTAAAAGTAGAATCAGACTCCAAAAACTTTCACTATCTGCATTTTTATATGATAATGCAATACATGTTAAAACAACATACATACAAACTAGAAGTAATGTTCCAGAGCTAAATCATATTCATTTTACCTTTCAAGTGTTTTGAAAGACTGGATAATATCCTTGGCATGACACCAAAGAAAATACACCTAAATGGAAATACAGATAAAATACAATCAGTTCATTTGGGTAAATGTCACTATATTTGTGAGTATTAACAATGAAGATGGTTAGAGAGGAAAACACTGATGGCCAGATTCTCTGCTGGTGTAAATTGGTGCAGATCCATTGCCATCAGGCTCAATTGATCTGAAATGACCCTGGGCCCCCTGGGCCATTCACCCAGAACTTGCCTGTCACTCAGAAACCTAACATCGCTCATATACACAAGACAGTGGAACAGATTACAGTAGAAACTTTGTTAAACATGTCTCATCCAAAATAGATCCCATACTTTGAGTTTCTGTAGCTGGAAAGACTTTTATTTTTCATGTAGTGGTGAAAAATGTGAAGGAAAGTACCAGGCTGACAGCACAGAAATATAAAGTTCTCTGTCCACAAGACAGGTATTGCAACTGCAACAGTAGCAGTGCTGCTATGTGCGTCTATCCTTCTCTGAGAGAAGCATTTTGATGGGTAAGAGGTTCGTACTGGTTCCCAACCCATACATCAGTGTTTCTTGGTTGAGGCTGCCAACAAAGTTTCTAATTAATAAAGTGCTTTCATCTTGCAGCACCTGTCAATTAGCAAAGAGTATTATTAATTTAAAAGGTATAGGCCAGTACATTTACATTGGGCTTTACAGCATGATCAAGGGAGATGAATCCCCTGCCCCAAGGAACTTAAAGTCTAAAATAGACAACAATAACACACATGAGACAAATTATGAGATAACAGTTCAGATAAGAGATCATTGGTGAGGGGAACAAGGTAGGAAGAATTCCTGGAAAATGTGAGATTTTAGGAGAGCTATGAAGTAGAGCACAGTGAGGGCTCCAAGTGGACAAGTCATGGTCCATGAATAAAGTGGCTGCATGAGGAAAGGCAAGAAGCCAAAAGAAGGAAATGGAAAGGAGAATGAGAGGAATGTAGGCAGTGAAAGTAAGAAGTGAGATCAGAGATGTAGGCAGCAGTGAGATTTATGTAGGGCCTGGTGAGGCTGAGAATGTTGAGAATGATGAGGTAAGAAACAGGTTAATGAAGGGATTCAAGGTGGAGAGGTTCTGTGAATAGCCTGCAGGGAGGAGAAGTGACTGTAGTAAGAGGAGGCCCTGAGATATAGCATCTGACAACAGTGACATACAGAAAGCAGGAGAGAAGGTTGGTAGTAATCAATCTGAGAGACAACCACAGCAGGTACAAAGGTTGTAGCAGCCAAGAGAGCACAGAAAGGTCAGTTTTGGAGGATATTAAAGAGGCAGAGCAGATCACTGGAGACTGGGTCTGAGAGGTGGGAATGGGGGGGACGAAAGAAGAATCAGATAATACTGAGGTTGTGGAAGGATAATGGAGTGAGACTTCAGGATTTAGTTCCCTATTGATGCAACCTAGTGGAATGAATGAGGAACGCAAGGTGATAGTGGAATGATCCATGCCAGCATTCCTTTGGAATCTGGTGTAATCTGGAGACATCAATCACAGTTAGGTTCCCAGAATACTGAAGTCTGACAATAGGGGAAGTGCTTGAAAAGTGGTCAGGCATAGAAGCAGAGTTTAAGGCCAAAAGGGAACACCAGATCGAGTCTGACCATCTGCATATCGCAAGCAACCAACACCCACACCCTCAACCCAACAACCAAAATTAGACCACAGTATTACAGGCCACAGGAGTCTAGACTATTATTTGCCACAGACAGAGAACAGGAGAGAGCGAGGTGCACCAGTGCCCGAGGCCCCTGCAATGGCAGGGACATGATTAAGTGAGATATACCCAGATAATCTTGGCAAGTGAACAGCATCCACATGCTGCAGAGGAAAGCAAAATACCTCCAAGGTCACTGACAATCTGACCTGGAAGAAAATTCCTTCCTGGCCCCACAAATGGCTGGTGATCATGTGATGTTGGGGACCTTGAGCATGTGAGCTCCCTGAGCTAGTGCCAGCCAGCCAAGAACCTGAGAGAGAGAGTGCTCAGTGCCACCTCACAGCATCCAATGTCCCATCTCCAGCTGTGGTAAGCAAGGAGATAAAAAACAAACAAAACAACCCAGAATAATTGAGGGGCTTGAGGTGGGAAGAGGAGAATCCCTTCCTGATCCCTGCAGATGGCTGGCTGAAACCCTGAAGCATGAAATTTTAGGAACATCAGACTTGAAGTGAGCCCCAAGGCTTGCCCCTACCATCACAAGTAACCCTGTCATACAATCACACTCATAAATTTGTCTAGCCCTCGCTTAAATCTAATTAAATTATTTGGCCCCAAAAGTCCTACTGGGAGGCTGTTCCAGAACCTCATTCCTCTGCTGGGTAGAAACCTTCTTCTAATTTCTAGCCTGAATTTGTTCCTCACCAGTACATACCCATTTGTTCTTGCACCAATATTGTCCTTTAGCTTAAATAGCTCTTCACCCTCCCTGGTGTTTACCCACCAATGTATTTATAGAAAGCAGTCATAACCCCTCTCTGCCTTCTTTTTGCAAGGCTAAAAATACCAACATCTTCCAGTCTCCTCTCATAAGATAGGTCTTCCATTCCCCTGATCATCATAAGAACAGAAAAATGGTCATACTGAGTCAGACCAATCGTCCATTTAGACCAGTCTTTTGTTTTCCAACAGTGGCCATATCCAGATGCTTCAGAGAGAGTGAACAGAGCACAGCAATTCATAGTAGTGCTTTTCTACACCTTTTCCAGTTCATATTTATCTTTCTTGAATATGGATGACCAGAACTGTACACGGTATTTCAAAGGAGATCTTACCAGTGCCTTGTACAATGGCATTAATACTTCTCTATCTCAACTGGAAATGCATCACCTGATACATCCTAGGATCACATTTGTCTTTTTTGCTGTCACATCATGTTGATGATTCATAGCCATCTTGTGATAGACCAACACAACCAGGTCTTTATCCTCCTCTGTTTCTTCCAACGGATGAGCCCCTAGCTTATGGCAAAATAATGTATTAGACACTAAGTGCATGACTTTGCACTTAGTACTTTGAATTTCATCCCATTTGTATTACTCCGGGTCGTCAGTCATCCAGATCTTCCTGTATAATATTCCAATCCTCCTCTGTATTGATGATGCCTCAAAACTTTATATCAGCAGCAAATTTCACTAGCAGATGCCTACTTTTTGTGCCAAAATCACTAATAAAATTATTGAATTAGATTGGTCCCAAGACTTATCCTTGAGGAACTCCACTAGTAACCTACCTCTAGTCCAATAATTCACCTTTCAGCACAACCCATTGTTTTTGCACTTTTATCCACCTTATAATTCACCACCTTGTACTGATCCTCATCATCTCTAATTTCACTAATAAGTTCCCATGTGGCATCAAGTTAAATGCTTTACTGAAGTCCAAGTATATTAGATCTAATGCCCTTCCCTTATCTAAAAATGGTTCTTTCTTCTCCACAGAACCTTTGAAAAGAACATTGCATATCTGCTCTGTCTGATAATGGTCCCAGTGAAATGGAATTCTGAGATGTCCAAAACACATTAATTAACAGTAAATTAAGGCTCAAATGTCCATTCATTCTGGGCACCTCAACTTTTGGTGCCAAACTTGAGATATCCAGGGCCTGATTTTCTGCAGCCCCCATTGACTTCAGCTAGAATTGTCCATGTTCAGCACCTCTGATTTAAGGAACTCAAAATTAGTGGACACTTTTGAAAACGTGGGCCTAAGTCTACACAGCATTTCATTGGCAAAACTGAGAATTCTGATCTCCAGCCACCTAACCAAAAGATCACATTCCTACCACATTTGCCCATCTGTTCAGTGAAACATTTGCCAAATTTAAAAAAGGACTAAACCAAAACATTGGATCAAAAGGCTTCCAAACTTTATGAAAGTTTTGAATCAAATCCAAATTTTCTGGCACAGTTCTTATACTGCGCCCATCGCCATGTTATCTATGCACCTTCTGAAGATGCATTAAGTGACCTCACTAGCATCAGTTATCGATGGTTTTTATTTTTCCCTTCCTCTGTACAGCTCTGCATTGCACATGGAATTGGAATTGGAATTCTGCTTCCGAGCTGGTTGTGCAAGGGAATGGAAGTTAGTTGGGCCTCCCCCAACCACACACTGCGCCTGGCCCTCATGCAGGTGCATAATCTGGCTCACCATCCGGGATGGAGAAATTGTAAGAGGATCTTGATTCAGGTGTTCAACATTATGAAGGCTATTGTGAAATCTCATCAGTCTCTCCCTTTTGACCTATTACATAATAACAAGGGGGTGGTGTGTAAGTTTAAAATAATAGAAAAGGAAACACTTCTTTATGCAACATATAATCAAGTGTGGAATTCATTGCCACATGATGACATGGAGACAAATGGCTAGACTTAGAATACGACTGGATAATTGTACACTCATTGGCTATGTTTGCTGCTATGCACATAGTGATGTGCGTAATCAAATAACATGCTTCAGGGTGAAAACCCATCATTTACTTGTTTCAGGAAGGAATTTCCCCATATGAACAAGCATTGCACAACTACATAAGTACATTATTTAGGGGTTTTGCCTTCCTTTGAAGAATCAGTTATTCATTACTGCCAGCCGCAGGAGACCAGACTAGATGGATCGATGGACTGAACCAGTATGGCAAGTTCCTGTGCAGAAGCAACAGTGAAATGTATTTGTCTCATTTCATATAAAAAAAATTATGACGACTATGTGCCTAACTTGAACTACAAAAAGGTATGTCGTGCCAAATGTGGGATCAAATTTTTAGGAGACCTTTTTATCCATGTGAAACATTTATACATGCATCTTATGTGTGAGGAGCTAGTTCATTTTCAGATACAAACAGGCATTTTTGGATACAAATTGGCTCAACTGCCTGATCTGCATGCTCAAATCCCAGTTTGCATGCAGAAAGGGGTATGCATTCACAAAAAGTTTAGCCTTTAACAACTTATCTCCTAATGTTTTTAGAAACTAATTTAGGAAAAACAGAGCAAGAGGAACAGACAAAAATGATGCTTGGTGACAAAAACAGACATAATAACAACAAGCTAAAACTGGCTACTTTTACCTGTAAAAGCGTATGCACTGCATGTGTGACAGGAAAAATGCCTTCAGTTGCTGATAAACAGTTTGAAAATCCAATAAAGTATCCAATTTTAAAAGAGTCCAGAATTAAAGTAATCACGGCAAATAATGTAATCCCACCTAAGACAAAACAAATATTAGAAAATGTTAATATACAGTTAACCTGTCTTCAGAGAATCTGCACTAATAAATAAAAATTCATGTTTTGAAAAGGCTATCCCTACTAATCAGTAAAATAAGTAAATGGTCATAAGATCAGTTTACTCAATGCAATAAAGCGCTGTAATTCATGAAAGCTCTTTCACAATCTATGACTTACGCGTAACCACAATACATGAATAGCTCATGCAGTATGTAGGGACCAATCTTACAGTTCCCAGGGAGTTGAGGGCATTCAGCATCTTGCTGAATCAGAGCCTCAAGTAACTGTAGCACAGAGCCAGTTATACAGTCAAGTGAATTAATGCACTATATAGCTACACAGCAAACTATACCGCTCACAGAGCTGAACAATCATGTTACAGTCTCCTGACCCAAGAGTCCTACACTGGGCAGTAATACAATCACTTGGTATGCCATCTCAATTGTTCAGAAGGTTAGACTGAACCACTATAAGTCAGAGACCAAAAACTGTATGCTTTTCTTTTTACAAATGCACTCAGATTTCAGACTTCATCCTGAGATCCATTACTTTAACATACATACATACACAAACAAACAAACGTTTGTCTAAATTTTTATATAATGTTTTTAAAGGGTTTTTTAAATGTTTCCTTTACTGTTTTTGTTTTTTTTTTTTTAGTATAACTCCAATATCTTTCACTTCAAAGATCTAAATGGGAACTCATTTTGGAAAGCTATATGATAAGATACAGCTATGTTGCTATTGAACCTTATTGTACCAGCATAATTAAGCAACAAGACACAACGGGAGATAAAATTACTGAGCCAGACTCTGAGACCTTTATTCAAGTTTTTTCCTAAGTCCTTACTCAGACAAACTCCCATTGACTTTAACTTAACTTTAGCTGAATAAAGACCAGGTAAAAACTGGCTAAGACCCTCAGAACTTAGATCACTGTGTCTTTGTCCCTGTTTCTTATTGCTCAAAGAGAATTGTGATATAAAGATGGTAAATGATATCACAAGAGTTGACTTTATTCAGTATTTATATTATACTTAAAGGGCCAAATTCTGCTCACCTTATTAACATGAGATGTTCCACTGAAATTATTGTTTTGGGGCAATATATATTTGTTCCCTAAAATTAAAGTTAACAAGTCAACCAAGGAGACCCTTCATTCTTATAATAACATGTTAAATACCCTACTAAAGATGAGCTATTTATTTGAATGAAAATTTTAAAAATATAGTGTAATTGTTGCTGTTTGGGAATTATTCATATTTTCAGTGTACTCACCAGTTCATTACAAATGAACAAGAAGCTCCAACGTGGGTGAGGTAGTACCTTTTATTGGACCAGAAGTTAGTCCAATAAAAGGTATTACCTTACCCACCTTGTTTCTCTAATATCCTGGGACTGACACAGCTACAACAACACTGCATACAAGAAGCTCCAAATCAGGTGCAGTGGAGAAAAAAAATACATCAATCACTTTGCTACAGCCATTTTTAAAATAACACGGTTTATTCAATTCATTAGCTCTTTGTCAATATACAAAAACAGATTTGGAAACAGAATGCAACCTGAAGAATTTCATTTCCATTAGTATTTTTAGTTTCATATTTTACAAATACTCACTATATAAAGAAACCAAAGACCAAAATCCCTAGGGATATACCTTACACCAGCAGAGAATTTGGCCTCAACTTTTCACTTTTATAGTTCAAAAACTAAGGGCCCACTCTGCAAACACCTGTAATTTTACTCAAGTGAGTATTCCCATTGAGTTCAGTTGGACTAGTTATTATGTGAGTGACGTTACTCACATATGAAAGTGTTTGCAGGATTGGGCCCTAGGTTTAACTAATGTACTGTATAATTTTTCATTATGTACACAAGTAAATTGTACTGTAAGGTGGTAGATTCTAGACTGCTTTAGCAGTTAGTCACTTAGGTTTCCTTCTACAAGGAATTAATATTGTTCTAAAGGGAATTAGCATTGTTAATTCCATTACAATAACTTGCAGGACTAATTTCTAAAAATACCAAGGAAACTACTACCAAAAAAATGCAATTTTAAAAATTAGTCTATTTGGATATTTTTTCTAATGGTTTCAACATGTCTTGAGGATTTATTTCTTTTTGAATATAATTATCTCATCAACAGGAAACAAGATCCTCCTGCAGCAACAGTTTATATTACATTGGAGAAAAACAGATGTGGTTCTTGTTTAATAAATTCTAATATATAGACTGACTTGGTGTGTGATTGGAAATGATTTAAGACCCTAATCCTGATCCCAGTGTGAAATTTTCCATTGAGTTCAGTGGTGTAGGCTCAAACCCTAATATATAATCTTTATATATTATAAATATATGTTTACACCATTTTTTCCTCACTTTAGTTAAGTACTAAAGTGAGAAAAAAAATGGTAGTGAGAAAAAAATGGTGTATACATAGATTTATAATTTAAAACAGAGTGAAATGGTGAAGCAATGCAGTTGGTGAAAGGGATGCACAGTCCTAGGGTCTGATTCTGCATGCTTTTTTTCATTACTTATGAGAAGAGTTCAACTGAGTTTACGGCATTAACTAAGGTGAAGAACGAAAGAAAGAAAGTCAGGCTTAAACACACAAAAGCATAAATAATCATATCGTAGATTCCTTATCAGACCCCTCCACTACGCACATATCTTGTTTTTGCATGAATCAGCTGTTGTATATTTATTGTAACTCCTTTCCATGTAACTTTGTATTACACATAGTCATGGATTTCCTTTAATGAGGGTTCTAGATTTCACATGTTTTAGACAATTATTCTAAATGGTCAGTGGAGAAACACTTACTTTCCCCCCCACACAGCGTAATTATGATTTATGTCATAATGAATATTTCTGCACACATGCTTCCTTTGGTTCTCTCTAAATATGCTATGGGTTCAAACTTGCTCCCATTGAAGTCAATGAGAGTTGTGTTATTGACTTCAAGGAAGTCTTCTGTGACTCATATAAATTAAAAATATTTTGTTTGGGATGGTTCAAACAACAAGTAGTACAGCTAATGTCTTAGCCCAATACACCAACAACATATACAAAATGCCCAACATTCAAATTTGAGGCTAAGGGTCATAGTCCAAGTTAACTAGGCTGGCCATAATTTAGGTATAACTTGTGATGGAGAAAATAATAGGATAAACTTGTTCATGGGAGCAAGTTGTTTGTTTCTCCCTTTTTTTCATAAGATGTCCACCTATAGATTAGAATTTGATTGATCTTCACTGTTTTCTTGTGTAGTGCCTATGGTTCTTTTTTAACCATGGGATCAAGACAGGAAAATGACATACTGGAGTAAGTCAGGCAAAGGACTTCATTTATGCATCTTTCTTCAAAGCTTTGAGGAAATGATTACTTGGGGCATGCTCATATAATCCTAAGGAAGCAAAACAGACACTGAAGTCAATAGAAACATTGTCTACATTAAGACTTCAGGAGATGTGCTTTGTATACCATACAAATTGGGAAAGAACACTTCTCTAAGGTTCAAACTGCCAATATCTAGTCACAAAAGGATCTGGTTAGAAATGGATATAAAAAGATACATAACTATATAAAAAGATGTTTTTGTTCAGTAATTCTCATCCAACATTTATGCTGGTAAAATGCAAGCCATAAGTGGTAACATAGTTACAGCTTTTCACCATGGTATTCACTGACTAAAGAAAATACATAAAATAGGTCATTTATTGGGTATCAAAATGCTGAACAATTAAATCCAACTAAGTAATCTAGATAAATATTAAAATTTTCTAGTCTAACCAGTTAATTCATGCACATTTTCTTTATGCAATGAGAACAAAGAGGCACATTCTAAAAAACTAGCTAATAGGGCTGGCCAAAAAAATGAGGAAAACGTGTGAAAATTATCATGAAAATGGGAAGAGTAATTAATGGGGAGAGTGATTAACCAGTATAACAATTTACCAAAGGCTCTGATGGATTTTCCATCACTGACCATTTTAAAATCAAGATTGGATATTTTTCTAAAAGATCTGCTCTAGGAATTATTTGGGGGAAGTTCTATGGCCTGTGTTATACAGGAGATCAGACTAGATGGTCACAGTGATCCCTTCTGGTCTTGGAGTCAATAAATCAATGACAAAACATTTCTTTTTTTCAAACTTGTAAACAGTTCTACTAGCTAATCATTTTTATTACACAATTATTGATACTTTTTAAGAGATCAGCATGGAGTTCTAACTCTGGAAAAGGAAGGTAATGTTAGTCTTACCAGAGTAAGTACTGCAGGATTGGACATTCATTAATAAATCCAGGTATATTTTCTTCTAACATTGGTTAAAGGAATTGTCTAGAATTGTCCAAGCCATAACTAAGCATAGGAAAATGTGGTCTGAATATCAGAAAAAAATTTCCAACAGTGAAATTTATTAGACTGTGAAATAGTCATCCAATGGAAATTGTGGAAGACTGTAAAGAGCAATCCTGCATTGGTGGAGGAAATGGATAAGATGACCTAATAGTTCTTTTGCATATTTTATTTCTGCGATTCTATGATTCATTATATCCTCCATGGCAAGTGAAAAAATGTGCCAAAAAGATAAAGGACCAGATTTTGCCACCCTTACTCATGTTGAGTAGTATCTTATTCCTCAATTAATAGAACTACTCAAGGAGTAAAGTGCTACTTAATATGAGTAAAGGTAGCAGAACTTGGCCCAAAATAAAGCCAAATTCAACCCTGGCATAATTCAAATGACACCCAAGAAGAATTTGACCCATCTATCCTACTAAAGTAAAACTGTTTAACTACCAAGTTATGGCTAAGAATGGCATATTATTATGGGAAATAGTAAATAATAAGCAGTAACTATTCATGTGATGCCATGTTAATAGTATAATTTTTTAGCAAAGTGATTATGCAGAAAACGGATGTATAAATTTCGGTTTTAATAAAACAATACAAATTGCAAGTGCTGTTAATACTGACAATAAGAGACTAAAGAAGGCACAACAGTAGGGCTGAGAAAGAATGAAGTTTAATAGCAACTACTTATTGTTTTGATTGATCACATTTCAGACTTCCTAGTGTTTTTCATCTAAGTGATAGTCACTAGCTGCTGCACAGAGAATTTTCTCTATTTGCGTCAAAGCCAGGAGATATTGTTTTTTAAAATTTCTCTGGCCCCAGTGGTTTATGCAACCTCTGTATTGCATTTAACTCACCCATGTTTCCAGCCTACCATTTACAGTGCTACAGGCAGAAAAAAAGACTGTTGATAAAAACAGCCTTGCCAGCTGGAATTCCAAACTACAGCTCAATGGTTACTGCAAAGGACCTTGCTTTTTTCCTACAACCTGAAACACTACATTCTTTTAAGTGAATGTGACTTTGTCACACTATTCAATACACAATTAAATAAAACTATTGAGGGTCTATATCCATATGCACATGACGGTGCAAATAATTGCTGCTGCAAAAGCCTTGCAAAACTTCCCAGAAATTCTCTTTTTTGCCTACAGGTGCTACCTGAATGGTACACATAGTTCATATCCTAAACTGCAAGCTCCTTGGGGAAGGGTCCTTGTCTTCTTGTCTGTCTGAAAAGCACCATAAATGCTTATGGCACCTTAAGAACATAAGAATGGCCATGTTGGGTCAGACCAATGGTCCATCTAACCCAGTATCCTCTCTTCCAACAATGGCTGGTGCCAGATGCTTCAGATGAAATGAACAAAACAGGGCAATTATTGAGTGCTCTATCCCCAGCTTCTGACAGTCAGAGGCTTAGGTACACCCAGAGCATGGGGTTGCCAACCTGACCATCTTGGCTAATAGCCCCTGATGACCTATTCTTCGTGAACTTATCTAATTCTTTTTTGGACCACAATATAGTTTTGGCCTTCATAACATCCCCTGGCAATGAGTTTCACATGTTGACTGTGTGCCGTGTGAAGAAGTACTTCCTCATGTTTGTTTTAAACCTACTGCCTATTAATTTAATTGGGTGACTCCTGGTTATTGTGTTATGTGAAGGGATAAATAACACTTCCTTATTCACTTTCTCCAAACCATTCATGATTTTATAGAACTCTGACATAACCTCCTCTTAGTCATCTCCTTTTCAAGCTGAACAGTCCCAGTCTTTTTAATATCTCCTCATAAGGAAGGTTTTCCATAGCCCCAATCATTTTGTTGCCCTTCTCTGTACTTCTTCCAATTCTAATGTATCTTTTTTGAAATGGGGCAACCAGAACTGCCTGCAGTATTCAAGGTGTGGATGTATCGTGGATTTATATAGTGGCATTATAATATTTACTCACTCTCTTACCTATCCCTTTCCTACAGATAATACAGGTAATAAATAATAATAGCTTATTTGTATAGACAGACTTTGACACCTGTGATGCATTCTGCAATAAAATAAATAATATTGCATTGCTTGAAAAGAGTGCACTTCCCAAGTCCCAAATTCCTCTAGACAAATAGACTCTCACCTACATAATTGCCTGATCTAACCTAACTATCCTATTTTCAATGTGCCTGCCCTCCTGGTATCTAGCTTTTAAATAAGTAGAGTGGGGGGGGGGGGGAGGGTTTCAATCTTTAGTGTGTTCACCTGTATGATTGGTATCCATATAATCTAGATCTACATCTACTTCTATATGTAGATATAACTATGTAGTGGATTTTTTTGTTTGGTTGATTTTTATTGTTTTTGTACAGAAAATAAGAAAATGATCATTATGAAGAACAGAAGAATAACATAACAAAAAGGAACTTCAAATATACTGGTGTCAAGCATCTCTCTGGCTCTGGTAGGAAAGGTAGAAATTAGGGGATTTCAGAGGAACCCTCTGGGAGTGAAATTTCTCTTTTCACAGTAACCTGACTGACAAGTTGCAGGTTGCATGGAATGAATCCACTAGAAGTTTCCATTCTGCTTGAGTATAGGGACCTTCACTACTATATGGCCAAGGGTAGGGCAAGTACACAGACCATGGATTTGGCCCTATGACGCGCTGAGCCCCCTGGAGGTTGCTGGGTTTTTTGGCTATCCTCGCAGGGGAAACCAAAGCCCGACCTTGGCTTTGCCAGTAAATGGAAGTGGGACCCGCGACTTACACTTTAACCAGCGGGCTCCTGCGTGGGTGTCTTTCTCTTGGATCAGCCTCCTCTGGGTGTAGCTCCTGCAGATGTACCACAGCATCCAGAGCAGCTGGATGAGCATGATGGTGATGAGATAGGAGAGCAGATCCTGCTTCCTGATGCCCACCGCATGCACAGCCCAGGCGAACATGAGCAGCAGCCCGGCTAGGAACAAGTTGATGCCGTACTGGCTGCTCAGGATCTCGGCGTTTTTCTGCGGGTAGCTGCCTCCCACCAAGCGGCTGCCTCCGGGCTGCCCTGGGGGGCCCTGCACCGACTTCTCCATCTCCCACTCCTCCGGCTGCCGCTGGTCCGGGCATCCCCCGCGGCTCTTCTCCCCAGAGCTGGAGGTGGTGTCTGCGTTATCTTCCACCATCGCGGCCACCCGCCGAGAGCCCTGAGACCTGCTGGGAGTGGCCGAGGTCCTCAGCGGGACTCGGGCGGGGGGGAGAAACGGGGGTGACAGACAAGCCCCCGCAGCAGGGACCCCCCTACTCGCGGTGTAAGAGTGAGGAGGCGGAGCGGGACAGCGGGCAGGGTCACTTCGCCGCACCTGTTAGCGCTCCCAGAGAGTGCTCAGCTCCGCGGCCAGCCTGCTGCGCGCTTCCCTTCCTCTCTCCGCCTGCCCCTTCTCCTGCCCGGGTCTCGCCCCTTCTCCCTGGACAGGTCTCAATGTTCCGCTCTCCTTCCCCGCGGGTTTGGAGCGGCTGCCTGCTCAAGCAGCGGCACTCCTTCCTCCCTCGCTCGCTCGCTCGCCCCGTTTTCGCTCCCTCGCCTTCGCAGCTCAGGGAATCCGAGCCCGAGTTTTATATAGCCGGCCGGCCGGCGTGGCGGGGGCAGGTCCCGCTGTCACTGCCCGCGGGTTGGCGCGGGAGGGGATTGGATGTCAGCCGCACACCGCTCTGGCGGGGGAGTGACCCCTGGGCAGTTCACACGCGTCAGCCGGCCCCTGGGCCCCGTGCTCTCCTTCTGTCCGGGCCCCCGGTGCGAGAGGAGCGAGCGGAGGGGTGGTGTCTAGGTATCCGGTGCGGGATTGGGGCGGGGCGCGCCTGTTGGAGGAGTGTGTGTGAGGAGGTGGGCATGGCGGGTCTGTGTGCATCTCAGCAGGAGTGAGACGTGTGACGGACAGAGACGGGGGAGATTTTGGAGTGCATGCAAGGCAGCTAGAGAAGTCTGCTGCATGTAGGGCAGCTGAAGCTGGGAGTCAGGGTGTGCGGTGCGCCTGTTACGGCGGAGGGGTGAGCAGTGTGTAGGGGCTGGAAGAGAGGGACAGGGTGTTTGGCGGTGGGGAACTGGGTAATGTAGCCGTAGCGGTGGGACGGTAGGGGCGAAGGACGCAAGCGGTGGCTGGAGTGGTTTCCTTTTAGGGGTGTGTAATGGAGAGGTGCAGTGGGATTTGAGTGAGGGCGGGTTGTCAGAGTGTAGGGGCCAGGGCTGTGCGATGGAGCTGTAGGAGTATGGTGTATGGAGCGTGCTGGTGGGAGTGGGAGGTGTTGGTCGACTTAACTGTGAGGAGATGGGTAAGAGAGGTGAAGGGGTTCCCCGTGTAAGGGCTCGAAGAAGGGGTGGTTTGTCAATGCTGAAAGCGGGCGAGAGCGGATTGTTTCTCGGTGTTTGGGTGGGAGGTCTGTATGGAGGTGTAGGACTGAGGTGGGTGGTTTGTCGGTGCCTAGAGTAGGGGTGCCTGACATGAAGTGGAGAGGTGTGATGTGCTTTGGGAAAAGGAAGAGAGAGAATAATCAGTGCAGAAAAATCTATTAGTTAATTTATCTTTCCCAGGGGAACTTTGTGGAAGGGTTCCACAAATAATGACAAAGAGCTAAGCCACGTGGTATTAAGAGAGCGAGATAGAATGTCAGTGTTTCCTAGACAGATTCCTGAAAGGCATATGGAGTCTGGGATCCGGAGGGGGGAACTAATAACAGGTAATTCAATTCCATCTCACTCAGGTGGAAATGTGGTAATTGCCATGATCTGGGACTTTCATTCCCTCTCATCTTATTTTTGGCAGGTAGTACTTCAGCTGGCTATACAATGCCTTTCTTTTCAAGCAGCATCTCTGTTACCCAAGGGAGTGCAATCTAGTAGGCATAGCAAAGAGCTAAGAGTCACGACTTCTAGGCATTGCTGTGTGACATAGGCAAGTCACATATAGCCTGATCCTATGATGTGCTGAGCAGCTGGGAAGTGCTGAGACTCCCTCAGTTCCCATTAAAGACAGGACAACCAAGGGCACTCAGCATCCTGCAGAACTGGTCACTGAACCCTCTGTGCCTTAATAACAGGAGTGTTGTGATGCCTGACTAACGTTTGTAAAGTACTCTGAGATCCTTCAGTGAAATGGTTACATATGTGGTATTATAATGTTTGCTTAGCAGAGAATGCCAAACTCTAGGTGTCAAAACAGGTTTAGTTATAACCTCCTATTTTTGCTTATACAAGACAAACAAACAAATAAATAAAATATAGATTTTCAAACACCCTCTATTTGGGCTGAATCCTTGCTAAATAATTTCCTTTTAAAAACAGAAAATTGATGCCGTTTTTTCCAGCTAGGGTGGACTGGAAAAGACAGGGGCATTTATTCTGAAAAATTAATGTCACACTTCCATCACTCTATACCTACTCCCACCACCACGACCCAGCAGCAAACTGTAACTCATCCACACTCTTTGTGACATACAAACACACATTTTATTTGCTTAGCATGGAAGATATAGGGACATAATTTGCATGAGTGAGCCTATAAATGACTCATTGAATCACATGCTGTAAAATCCTCCAAATCTACCACCTTAACAGCCAGAGCCAGAATGTGGATATCAGATTTTTTTAGTTTCATCAAAATTACTGCTGCATTCTGCAACACCCTTACCTTTTTTCAGGAACTTTAAAAATATATATATATTTTAGCTGCCAAAATATAGCCCTCACAGAATCAAATACATTGCTGCCTTGTTAACTCAACCTTGGAGAAAATTGTTTGCAGCTAAGCAATAGCAAGTCAAATCTTCAGGCTTGGTGCCTAACATTTTAAATGCTTAGTTACTGATTTGGGCACTTAAATCCAGGAGAGGTGCTTAATAAAGTTCTAACTTGTCCATGGTATAATTAAGGACAAGGGCTATGTCATTAACTGTCCCAGTCCCCCCTCTGGATGGACATCAGTTCTTGCTTCTAAGCCAACTGGGTCCACCACGCAGACCTTGATCATTGTTCCTAGCTCTGGGTCTGTAAGACACACTCCATGCTCAGACTACTTGATTAAAATCCTTCCATGGGATGTGCAACTCCACTGTCCCGCTGCCTGCACACTCTGGAATCAGTGCCTTAGACCTCCTGAGCCCCCATAGTCACTTGCGCACACTCAGAGCTCCACCTAGTCTCTAGTCACTCTGGGGTTAAAGGTTAACCACTTTGAGAACATGGCAAAAGGCAAGGAACAAGCTCAGCCGAGGTTAACACCTGTCACTTTACTCTTTAAAAAGTTACAGATCTTTATAAAATAACAGAAGTTCAGCGATGCCCCCTTCCTTAGTCTGATCTCACCCCTTCTCAGGTCTTGCCAGCATTTCAGACCAGGCAGAGGCCCCATGCCTTCTTTCTCCAGCCAGTTCCTTTTCCATGTAGCAGTGGATGACCCCACTCCATTGAGAAGCCATCCTCCTTAAATACAGTAGCTATTCTCTTTTGCCATGTATCCATGCTAAGATATTCCAGCGCCTTCCCCAGTCAGGCTTCTGTGCAGAGTTTTCATTATTTCATGGGATTGGGACAGCAGTCAAGAGACAAAATTGATGGCCCTAGATTGCTCCGTGATGGCTTCTCACTCATAGTCATTCAACTAGATGTCAAGTCTTTTTCCTACGCTGGTCACCTATCTGGAATGCAGCATAAGACTGACCTTACCAAGGTCAAACTGGTTTTTCAATACAGAATACAAAATGGTAGTCAACACACAAAATAGAAGACAGTGTACAAAATGGAAGTAATAATTTGTTCAGAGATATTCCACACTGTCACAGTCCCCATTCTGGTATGTGTTACAGAAACCTGCTTAGCCATTTTTGGCCTGTTTGATTCCAGCTGGGTATTTGGTCCAGTATGAACCAAAGAGGAATCACCAGAGAGATGAGGTGACTATGCATTTTGCAACCATTCTGAAGTACAGGGAGTCTTCTACCACAAGACTTCCAGAATTCACGGTGTTCATCTAGCATTTGAGTCCCTCTGTGGTGTTAAATCAGGATTAGATTTGGTCTACTGATTCCCACACGGCACTGCAAAGTCCCTGCCTGAGCTGATGAAGTGTCCACACTGCAGTGGCATTGGAAAGAACAAGGCTGATAGTGCTTGGTGACTCCAACATCTGAGTAGATGGTGAATCCTTAGAATCAGCTCCAGATTTCATGGCCACCATAATAACCAGGTGGCTATTGCCTTGATGACTTAGCTAGACCAACCATAATCTCATTTTAAGGCCAGGGTGAACATACACTGATATGGCAAAAGACTTCAGAGATGGTATGTTTCTTCTTATAGGTCACTCTATCCAGAGTTTGCTAGGGTTTTATAATAATCTTCTATCTTCAATTCTTGATAGGAGGCACCCTATGCACTTTCTTAATTAACTTTGCTCTCACAAAGCCTTTTTAGTTTGACAAAGCTGGTGGAAGTAAACACATAGCTGTAGCCTGTCATATCCATCTGTTGTCTGACTTAGACAGTAATCTCTTTGGGGTAAGAACTATCTTTCTGTTGTGTTTGCACAGCACCTAGCACAATTGAGTCCTAGTCCTGCATAAACACATGCATGTTGACCATTGAAGGGGTGGGCTTCCACTTGTGTCTACATTTGTAGCAGACCTCTCCTATGTCACTGTGCAACTTGCTGTCAGGTATATCTGGACCAACAATTCGTAGCAGATAACATTCAGCAAATATGTAAGTGCTGTGTGTTACTAAACACTTCAACACTCCTGTGTATAGGCAACAGTAGACCATGAAACATTCAGATAGTTACACCACCATTTGCCTTTGAAAACTTCTCATATAGTGGCTTCTTACAAGAACTGATTTAATAGGATGAGAAGCTTCTTCAACACAGCAACGTATATA